TGTAAAAAGAATTGTTGCAAGCAGCAAGCAATAATATCAGTCAACCCCATCAAAAGGACCAAAAAACTTATGTAATAAGAGCTCTATATAGACTTTATGAATACTCGAATGGATATCCACAAAGTCTATATGGAACTCTCATTATTGGTCTACATAAAGAATAATAAAAAAAAGCTTTTAATATTTTAGACAAACTTTTATTTAGAGGCATTTTATAATGATTTATATTTGCACAATTTTGATTATATTTTTGCAGTGATATAAAAACAATATTTAAACAATGACTTTTGCATAATTAGAATTAACAAAATAGTTAATTGAGAAAAAAATGTCGACAGTTTGAAAATTTTGCCCCTAAGCCTCGAATTGAGGACAAAAAAAATGACAATATGTACAGTAATCTAGAGACATTTATGATTCATTTAGCATAAAAATTAAAATCTGGTTCACCGTTAGAGGGAGAAAACTGAGTTTGAAGTTAGTTGGTCTCTGCAATATTTTAATCATAAAAAATATGCCGGTTGAATAAAATGATGGGTAAATACTATTAATGTTCCAAATAATGATTTAAATGTAATTTTTCATAGATTTTGTATGTTTTTATTAAACTAGAATCATTTTAGGAGTTTTTTTTCCGAAATATTTTGTTCCTATTTAAGGCTCAAACATACCAACTAAAAAGCAAAACTTTATACGCCATTTTTAACACTACCAGTTTCTATCAAAATGATACAAATAGCATCACAACTTTTAAAACTTTAGAAGGAGTTTTTAAACTAGAGTATTTAAACGGCTTTTATTAAAAAAGAAGATGAGCAATTATCTTTTCCTTTAATTGATTTATGGGGCTTTAAAGTGAGGCTACTAGAAGATGATTGAACCGTTTTTACTATTTTTGAAGCATTTTTCTTAAATCTTTTAGCCTTTGAAATTTTGTGCATCTGTAAATGCCTATAATAAAACAAATTTTTACTGTATAGAGACTTTTTAAAAAAGGTTTTTTTTGGTATATATTTAGTATATACCTAAAAAAATTTTAAAGTTCCTCAAATCAAATAGTTCTCAAAACTTAGTTCTTTACTTTGGGGAAGCAAAAGTTTTACAACAAACAAAGCAGAATTTTAGACTTCCTTACATTGATGTTTCTGATGATGAAGTTTGGAAAAATAGTATAACGTTTAAAACTCGCTATTACTTAAAATAACTTTAAATGACTTTTTGGCGTAGCATTTGCAAAATCAATTAATTTTTACAAATTCAAAAAACTCAATACACTAATATTTTATTGCAATACTATTTGTCCGCATGTGTTAATTTTTAAAAACATTTGGTCGCCTTTTTGGAAAAAGTTTGCAAACTTTTACTAACTTAATATTTTTAAACTAGAAGTAAGTTCTGATGATTTCTTATTAGTAGAATTATTTAAAATTAAACCAAACTACTAGAATATTTTTAAGTATTTGTAGAAGGTTACAAAATTATCTTAGTCAGAGTAAATGCAATGTATTGAATATTTTTTGTGCTCCATTACAGGGAAAATGTCTAACTTTCTAAAACTCGTGAAGACTGCAGAAGAACTATCTGCTTTTTGAGCATGATAAATTGTGACAGACAAGTTTCAGATTTCATGAAGGAGAAAATTCAGAGACTTGTCAAACAAGAGATTGATTGATCTTAAGGTTTATCAGGAAATTTTAACTCTTGCAGAAAAAACTTGCAAAAATTAGACAGTGGTTAAATCAGCGGTGAGCTCCCTAGACTGTACAACATTCAAAGCATCAAAAGTAAAGTTCTTTGAAAGTTCATGTTTCATTTATCAAGTTGGCTAATCAAAGCACAATTATGCTCCCCCTGTTGTATCATGTGCACCAAGCAGCAGACTACAAAGCTCTACCAGGCACAAGAAAATCTCTTTGCCTGACAACACACAAGTGGGGTTTCAAATTTCCAAAGTTTAAAATTTAAAAATTTGAAAAAGATAATGCAGATTGACTCTAAAGTGGGGGAAAAGTGACTGCATCTGTCATTAAGCAAAAAGTCGTCTCACCTAAAGGAACTAAAATACCGATCAGAGTACCCTGTACAAATGCTCCTCACTCCTGGACCATCCAGCCAAAACTCAGAAAAAAAACCATACTCTCAACAACCGACATGGTCTAGATTCAAATCAACTCTGTTCTTTCCAACAATAAAATCAGAGGTCTTAAATCAACTCTCAACAAGTCATTTGAAGCAAGGTTGGTGCAATTAGGCTTAAGGGATAAGTTTGTCTGTGTCGGAAAGAAGTTGGAGCTCTTCTACACCGCATCAACTATTTATTATACTTCAAACAAGGTCATCTCCGCCATCATAGTTGTGCATTGTCTGTCTGAGTTTGATGCCTTGGTGTCTAAAGAAAGAGGATCTTCCAAATTAAGCAGCATCACTAAAATTTTGATTGATAGTGATGAAAACCTCTTGAAGTTTAACTTAAGCATATTTGACACCACACACAGACTGCATATTAAAAGACAACAAACCTCACTGGTTCCACATCTATAGATTCTGGTGTCAAGCAGCAACTAAATATGGCCATTGCTGAAAACCTTTTAGAAAACTATCGTAACCTCAAATCAATCTTTTTTTTTTTTGGGATTGTCAGTACATCATTTTTTATTGCGTGTGACATGAAAGTTGCTAACATTCAATGTGGAATTTAGTCTATCATTAAGCAAAAATTTGCCTCACTTAAATGAACTGAAAGACCAATCAGAGTACCCTGTGCAAATGCTTATCACTCCTGGACCATTTAGCCAAAACTCAGTCAAAACTTACCCCTGCTACTGTTGTGACATTACCTCAAAATATTTGCAGTCAAAGAACTCGATTCGAGCTCAAAAATTCATATAAAAATATAGCGAACTGAAATCAGTTTCAGAAGGATCCTCCGAGCAGAGAAGGGACTTTAATAAAATTCTGATCTTTTAAGTAAGCTTGTGACCAAACGTCAAGTTGCTCCTGCGATAAAATATTTCAAGGCTTTTAAACAAGTTCGAATGTTGTTCATTTTTACTTCGGAAACAATCTGTCTCTAGATTTTGAAGTTCACATCAATGCATTTGAAGAATGCTACATGATTATACCGGTCACAGTGACTCCAAAAGTTCATATTTATTTCCACCACATCAATGAGTTAATCAAAATTTACAACACTTGGCTTGGTTGTTTTAGTGAGCAATCATCAGAGGCCCTTCATAAGTCTTCAGATCCCACTGGGTAAGATACAAATGAGGTTTGGACAACCCCTACCATGGAAAGCAATTGTTTGACTTTGTGCTATACTACAACAGCAATCATCTTTAGATTAAAGTGTTTCAAATTTTTACTTATTTTCGAATAAATAACATTTTTTATGCGAAATTTAAGTTACTTTTTTTGTAAAGCTTGTGTTGTTCAAAACAAATTAAACCTTATTTTGTTGTAAGAAAATTAGTTAAAAAAGAATTTTTCATGTATTTTGAGAATAATTTACAATCAAAAGAAAAAAATGAAACTTTTCATGATGCTTTCTTTGTTATGAGTCAAATTTTTATCATCAACAACTTATGAACTTGAAAGAGTAATAAATAAAGCATTAGGCCCAAATTTTGAATCTTCTTTACAATTACAGGTACACAAATTATCAAAGGCTAAAATATTTAAGAAAAATTTCATAAAAAACAGTAACATTGGTTCCTCTTGAAGCCTCACTTTGAAGCCCTATAAATTAGCCAAATGAAAAGATAACTGTTCTATTTTCTTTTTTTTTTAATGATAACCCTTTGAACACTTTATGACCTTATACAGTTTTAAAAGTTGTGATGCTATTTTGTGGTAAGTTATGATGAAACACTTTCATCGTTTGATGATAGCAAATGATTACAACTTTCTCATAAACTATGCGTACTTCCAAAAATAACCATTCGCTGCGTACCGAGAAGGATTAACCTTTCACTGACTTAATTGTTCCCGGAGCATTTAAACTTTTTTTGTTTTGCTCGTTGTGTTTTAACTAACCTCATGATATTAATTTTGGAACGTGCATCAATGAAAAAAGACAACCGTATTATTGACATCCCTATTAAAATTAAGCCATGCTTTAAGTTCAAGCTGTTGTGAAGATTTAATTTTTTATTAAGTTTGGAGTTTTTTTTGCTTTATTTGTTTGTAATAACTTCTAAAATTTCCTTCAAATATGCAAGATACACTTGAGTTTGTTATTTGCTGTGTCACAACCTTTTCATAAATGAAACAAAAACGCCCACAACGCAATTAACATATACACTTTAATGACGCAGATCGGAGCCATCAAGATGATTAGGTGTCATCGAATATTCAGCAGCCAAATATTTGGTGTTTCAGCCAAGCGGTTAGCCAAATATTCGGTTTGCGGTATTCAGAGAAATCACTTTTTGCGACAGCTCTAATAAAAACCAAGCTTTTTTTCCATCGTTTATATGAAAGGGAATATTCCCCCAAAGTTTTCAAATGTTAGCATTAGCACACGTTCTCAAATCGGTTAATAACCTAAACGTTATTCGTGTTTATCAAAAAAAGAATTTATTATTTTTTAAAAAAACTAACATTTTTTAAATTCTTAAGACTAAAATACCAAAAAATTAGTTATTTAAATATTAAATTGTGATTTTCTTTATTACTCCAGCTTTCCAGGCCGAACTTTTCCACTTCATCCGAGGAGGCTACTTTAACTGTGTTACAACTTCTCTGTAACTCTGAAACTCAAATCTTATTTTAATTTGTAAATTAATTACGGTAGTGGTGCGGTAACTAAGTTTTAATTGAATATTTAGTTATATTAACAAAAACCTTATATAGCAACCTTACAGAAAATATTTTTTTTATATCTAAGTTTTACTATATTACAGAAGAATGGAATATATATTATTATTTTGAATTCTACTCTCTTCCTATAACCTCTATATGAAAACAAATGAAACGAGACAAACTTATACATCGAAAAAAAAAATACATTCAGTGACTGCATACAGAATTTATTTGTTGCTTTAACGATTTATTGGAACCTTGTAGCAAAAAAAGATACGCACTAACAAATGGTCTCTGAAAGAGCGTTTTTGTTATATACGACAACATTACGCACCACATTCAATGTAGTGCCATCGTCACGAACAACCTTTTCAACAAAATTGTGTAGAACTTTTTGCGAAGAACTGGAATAAAAAAATTCAGCACTGTTTAAACTAGGATAGTATAAGATGTAAAAGATTTTTTTTCCATAAAAAAAGATAAGCATACTATAGCATGAAACAATGTTTAGACATAAAAATACCATTATTGATTCGAGTGGGTTAACACTAAAATAAATTGGGATAAAAGAGAACCACAAAACACAAATTGTAAACATTGCATAACCAATTGATTGAGTTTCCTTAAAATTTTCAGATAGTTTGCGAGCGCGAAATGCCATGCATCCACTTACAATAGCCAGTACAAAAAAATATATCATCGAAACCCAAAATATGGGTTTTTCATTATCACAGATAACATAAAATATGTTACTTTTAGAGTCAGAAATTGTTTGTACGGTAGTTGGATTATAGATATGCCAAACAAATATAGTCACTGCTTGTAATAAAACAAGTGAAAATGTGAAGGTAATTTGAAACTTATTTTCTAAAACCTTAGAAAGTTTTGTAAATGTTCCATTAAAAACCTGAAGCAAACGATATGTTTTTACAACAACAAAAGCCAAAACAGTTGTAAGTAAAAAACCAAACAGCGATGTTCTTAACAAACACAAATTTGGGCTGGGTTTAAAAAAATATAAAAATGAAATACACAACAAAAGTTTAATAGAAAAAATTTGAATGCACGACATCTCTCTATTAAAACTCTTAATGACTGGTTTGTTCCAATGTTTAAAATACAAAATTAATAAAAAAATTGTTCCCAGTACTCCTGATATTGATCCAATGGTTATTAGTAAACCAGCTAAGCTAAAAACCTTTAAGCTAATTTCAGTCAAGTTGTCACACTGAGTTTGGTTTAAATTTTCTCGGGAAGATCTCGGACATTTTGTACACTTGTACTGATTAATTTTACTTGAAACATAACCGCGTGGGCATATTTCACAAATCCAACAACATTTTGATATTGTTGAATTTACTCTGTATGTACCTGGTTGACAGTTCAAACTGCAAACAGATTTCGGTATAAAGTTATACTTCCAATTAATAATACTTGAGTTTATTTCTATAGTGGTTGGTTTATCTAAATTATACTCCCAGATTCCAAACTTTATAAATTTTTTTTTATCAACAAACACATAATCGTATGCAGGAAAAAGAAAGTCTCCATTTTTATCGAATTCAACAAAATAGTTACTTGTAGGAACAGTAAATCTTGTGCTTATCACATGGTTGTATAATCTTTGATAGTTAATTGATTCAGGTGGCGTGGCGCATTTCTCAAACGAACAGTGTAAATAGTCATGTAATCCGTAAGCCATTGCGTAGACTGCACTAACTACTTGGTTTATTTTGCGTCTTGATAATACATTTGTTAGATTAGCATCACAATACTGTTTGTTTTTAATACTTTTGGTTAAAAACTGTTTATACCATGGATTATTACAGTTTATTTCGCTTGTTATGTTAGTGTTAAGAATTTTATTGCTGACGAAGTTTATTGGATATTCTTTTAGTCGCAAACTGAAAATGTTGTGTGTGGATTTATGAACAGAATATTCCAAAAAAGCGTTTCCCCAAGTTTCAGTTCCTAATAATTAAAAACAATATAAACTCAATTGCTAGACGTAACTTTGAAAAATTGTAAAAATGAACAAATCATGTTATATCATAAAGTTTAACATTTCCCAGATTCGCAATAATTAACCCAGTAAAAATACTTTTCTATTATCATTAACTATAAAGAAAGTTTAAAAACTAAAAAAAAACGCACGCAATTTAATTGTCACCCTATTTTTTAGCATTTCAAACACACAATGCAACCTTTTCAAAGCCATTAGTAAAAGGTTTAACGCCATCGTTTTTTAGATGATTTAAAAGAAATTTTACTAATGATTTAGTTTCACAAGGACTCCTCGTCATAATTTAAAACAATTTTTTGACCTTTATTTACAGCTTATGCTTATTTCCTTGATTTAAAGATTTATTTTTACATTCTATGATTTGTATGTATGATTTGTATGTATGATTTGTATGTATGATTTGTATGTATGATTTGTATGTATCATTTGTATGTATGATTTGTATGTATTTTAGTTCCAGCACAGGAACTGCTTAAATCAAATCGAAACCTGAGTTTTGTGTCCCAAACGTATCTTCTTTTTTTCAATACAAGTTTAAAAAATACAAAAATAAGATATTAGGGCCAAGTAAATAGTATATAATTACCTATCCAAGTGATATTGTTAATGCCACGTAATATACTTTTGGTGATGATTTCTACTGCAAAATGAGAATCGCACCATAGTACTACAATGCGTGAGTTTTGCTCAATACGTTCTAAAATAGAATTCAATTTGTTACTTAAAAAATCTGAATCAAATGTGTTTTCTACAGAAAAACAAATATTTTTTTCCTTTGCTGCTTTACGAATTTCATCACGACCGAAGCGGCCATATTCGTCATTTGAAGTAAAAAGCGATATGTAGCTCCACTGAAATTGATCTATTAAATCAATTAAAGCTTTTGCTTGATATGCGTCCGTAGGAGTGGTACGAAAAAAATTACGATAAATAAAACGTTGCGATAACGATATACTTGTTGCTGCATAGGATACCTGTGGAATAAACTCAGGTAGCAACATAGAACTTACAGCAGCACTCAAGGAACTGGAGGCTGGTCCTACAACTCCGATAAGTGCTGAATTTTTGTCTTTATCCAATAAAAAATTTAAGGCATGGTCACTTGCGCACAAAACTTCGTTTCTTGAATCACGTATATCGTATCCTTTAATCAAAGCATGAGAATAAACTTTTATATTTATTATATTTTTAAACTATTATATTTTTACATTACAAATCAAGATTAAAATTTTTCACCTAAAATTATGCCAGGAAGTATGTTTTTGCTATCATTTATTTCTTGAATAGCCAACATCATCGATGATACCAATAATATTGGTCCTTCATTAAGAATATAAGACCCCCCGTTTCTACGATGAGTTGGAAAAATACCTCCAAAAAAATATGTTGAATTGTTTAGATTATGTGCACTAATTATTGAGTCTCCACAGTTGTGAGTTTGATGAAGAATTACAAAAATAGATTGAAGTAAAAGTAAACAACACATTATTAATAGCATTTGACGTTTTTATGAAATAAATCTTTTTTTTTTATAAAATTCTAAAATAAAACAATTGAAAATAAATAGTTTATAAATTTAAGAATATATTAAACGATGTTTGATAGGAATGTTAATTGGAATTTTTTTTTTTTAATTTTCTTATTTGCCATATAAATATATGCAATCCGTATGTTAATAACAAGACTAATATGTCTTGTTTTTAACATACGGATTGTATATATTTATATGGCAAATAATAAGAAGACTAATATGTCTTATCGCCAAGTCATTGATAAATTTTGTAAATATAAAGTTCGATTTAAAAATAAGCAATTCCGTTAACTATATAAAATAAACCAACGTAAAATTGGTAAAGTAATAAATGAAACATATTACTAAAAAATAACAAGAAGCGCTATAAACTTAACCCTTTGAGGACCGTAAGGGTTACAAAAATAATTTTAGTAAAAGTAATGCATTTCTTACATTATAATGTGTTTAAATAACAAATTAAAGAAAAAAAATTTTTTTTTATCATTACAAGTGGAAATATACGATGGGACAAAAATGTCCCAATGTTCCTCAAGTGAAGTATGGGTCATATTTGTCCCATATGGCAATCACATATAACAAGTTTCAATTCATTATTTTAACTCAAAATAAGTATAATATAAAAAAACTAAATAAAATACTTATAGAATAAAATTGCTTTGCTATTGTTCTTCTTAGTGATCATTATTAGCAGTTTTTTTTGAAATAAACTAAATATTTTCAATTTCTATTGAGGAGATATCATTTTCTTTACTGCGTGAATTTGTGAAATTCATCAAAACAATTACGTGCTTCTTTGTAGAACAGGCTTACACCACATGTGTCACAGAAGGAGTCAGTGCGGTTGTTAATACCATGCTTGGCACATTGAGCACATCGTGGTTCTTTCCTGATCAAACAGTGTTGTGGTTTAGGTGTTATTAGGAGAGATCGCTGACCTAACAGCTGCTAATGGAGCATTTCTTTATTTGTAATAATATTGACCAATAAGCTTTCTTGCTACCATTTTTCTAAATTGTAGTGGTGTTATTGACTTGTATTCTGAATTCCTCTCTTGATTGATTTGTACATAAATACAATGACTGTTGTTCACAGCAATATCAAGAAGATCAAAAAAAATTTATAAATAATACTTGATTTTAGACTTTCGATCAGTCTCATATGATACTTTTTATTGGTCCATGAAGTCAAAATCACCCATAAACTTGTTGTAAAGTCTAACAATAGTTGGACATAGAACTCGTAACTTTTCTGCGCATCCTGCATTCCTCCTAAGAACAAGCGATACATCATCTTTTGAATATAGTATAAAATTAGACAACAGAGTTACTGATCTGTTATCCACCCATTTGACACAAGTAATCCCATTAGCTTTCATAGCATCCATGTCTCCTCGTTTCATTTCCTTGTCTGATTTGAAGTTATTTGGCATATACTTTCTGTGAATACAAAAAGTGCCAAATGTGACAGATCTTATCACATAGATAAATCTTGTTTTGTTGCATGTGAACTTGTAATAGTGGAGAGTAAAGAAGCTATCTACAAAAATATGACAACACAACTCTTCTATTTTTTTTGACAACATGACAACAACACTCTCATCAAGACCATATTCTGTGCTTACTTTGCGTCCTGTATATAGATCAAACTGATAGAGGTAGCGTGTTGCAGCACCACATCTGCGCCACAACTTAAATCCCCACATAATGGGTTTATTCTTTATATATTTTTTCATGATGTTTTGACCTTTAAATTTTATCATGTGTTCATGTATTGACTGCTGTTTGCTTGCATTTCTGGCAGATTGGAAAAAAATATTATAGTGATTGATCAACGGGCAGACTTTGAAAGCCCGATCACTCTGTGGATGACTTCTTGGTAATATTTCATCATTGTTTGCAAAATGCAATGCAAAACGAATTGCCTCAAATTATGTTCAAGGCATTGTATTTGATACAATTGGGACCTGAAGATCTGGCTGACTAGATCAATAATCTCTGATAGGGGGTAAAACATGGAAGCCCATAATAAGACAAATTCTAATGAAAGCACACGTTTCCGCTTTATCGTTCTGAAACGGAATACCTTTTTGCTTCATATGTAGCTCACTCTGTTCTATAATTAGCAAAACTAAGGTATCTGATTCAGTCACTTTCTCAAAAACAGAAAAAGCATCAATATCTGCTGGTTCTTAAAAGTTAAAATTTACTTGTCCATAATTATAAACAAGTGTCTCAAGTCTGGTTTTTGATGTCTGCCTTTTCCACTTGAAATCGATATCAGGGTATACTGATAAACCAACTGCACTAGACTTCGATTTTATTTGTAGTTGTAGGTTCTCTTCTGTTTTTGGTACTGGAGTGTCATCAGACCTATAAGTGTATATTGCTTTTGTTAATCGTTTTGGGTAAGTTTTTAACTTTAATTGTGTTGATTTTTCTGGAATATTGGTGGTACAATTATGTTTTGATTAACCATAATACTTCACAGGTTTGATCCCACTATTTGTTGTTGTTGTGTTGCTAGGTTCGTAGGAAAGATCTGGTCGCTCTATGACAACTTCCTGTGCAACAAAGTCAACATCTTTAAGTAAGAAGCTTTCACCTTCATGGTCAAGAAGCAATTTCTCGTCGTCATCATCATCACTGTTGTCAGCAAATAACAGTTGCTGTATATCTGTTTCATTTATTTTGAATAACCGAATAACCGTTTGCAACCAGATATTGTTTTACAGTTTCTTTATATAAGAACTAAAAATAAACATAACAATCTTATATGTAACAAAATTTCACTTGTTAACCAAGGGAAAAATGAGTCCCATTTGCAAATCTGGTCACTAAATTAAGAATTATCACACAAAAATTAAAATAATTAGTAAAATTTATTAAAAACATTCACATGAGCCAAAAAATATTTATGTATGATGCAACGTGTTCTATGGGGCGCTAAAATAGTTTTTTTTTTTTTTTATTATGCATGGTTGCAGGTTGCTTTACTTACTCTAAAACTTGGAGAATGGTCAAATAACATTATTATTACAAAGAATAAACTAGTATTATTATAAAATAATTACATTTGAAATGGTTTTGACTAAATGAGTAGGTGTATTGCATGTATTATGGTTAAACATATTCTTCTAAAAGCACGGAAATATTTTAATCTTTATTTATTGAAAAATCATAAATAATTTTTTTTTTTTTTTTTTTTTAAGTATTAAACTTCAGAACACAAAAAGTCTAAGGATCAAAAAATAAAATGAATAACAACTTATATTAAACAACAAAGGCATAAATAAATTTGAAAAGTTACTAAGTGTATTAACTTAATCTTTTCTAAAATTAATTTTCATTTATTTAATAGATCAATCATAAGAGTACTTTACTCAGAAATTTTTTTTTTTTTTTAATAAATTTTGCTGTTTGTATAAAAATAAAATAATAAAGTTACAATGAAACTTTTACGTTACAAAATAAATATAAAACAGACAGGGGCTCAAAGAAGATAAGGATGACTGGTGTCAACACAATATTTTCATAAAACCCCTTTACAATATTATTTAAAGCCCGCATGGCTTTAGAAAATTTGCAATAGAATATTTTATCTGTTAAATACTACGTGAAGATTAAAGGAAAACCTATATATACATATATACCATATATACATATACCAATAAAAACACACACATATACAAACATATTTACATATACGTCAGAAATTATAGAGATGCAGTTCATTTGTCGTTTAAAAGAAAAAGTGCTTTTCAAATTTTTTATGTTGCTATTTTTTAATTTATTCCATAATGACGGGCCTTGGCTAACAATTGAGAATTTCGACACTTGCAATTTTACTCTGCTCAAGTGGTAGTTATGGTTGTTATTTGACCGAAGATTGTATTTTTGTGAAAATGCTGATGTAAAAATAACAGAAAACACTTTTGGCAGCAAGTTATTCTTATATTTATACATAAATATTAATATTTGAAGCGAATTAAGTTTTAATATATTTAACACATTCATATATTTCATTACAGGGAAAGGGTTTTCTAATCTCTTTAAATAGTAAACTGCTTTACATGCGTGGTTTTGTAGGCTTTGTAATCTTAATAACTTAATTTTGTGTGTGTTAGCCCAAACAATATTAGCGTAGGAGAGATGACAATGAACAAGACTAAAGTAAAACATTTTGCGTGATTTATAATCAAGAAAGGCCCTAGATTTATATAATACACTTATAGCAGAAGATATTTTTGCTTTAATGAGACTAATATGTTTTTTTTATGATAGGTTCTCATCAAATATTACTTCCAAAAACTTTGAATGATTTACTCGATTTATTTTATTTTTATTGATTGATAGTTTTGGCAACTTTAATGGAAGATTAGTTAATATATTAAAGTAATTAATGATATAAATAAAATTAAAACAAGATATATATACCGAATATATAGATTAGTTAATCCATATACTGGATAGATCAATAAGAGATCGTCCATAAAGTACCTACACTCGGAAAGGTAGAGGGGGTCTGCAAATGGCGTTTCTGAGATAAGGGGACAGTAGGTCAATTATAAAAGTATTGAGACACTAAATCAAAAAAATTTCATAAAATATTGGGTTGACAGGTTAAAGGCGTAGGTACTTTTAGGGAGGTAGAAGGTACTTGAAAAATCGTATGGTTAAATGCGGGGAAAATTTGGGGAAAAAAAAGCGTACGTACTTTATGGACAACCCCTAAGTTAAAATATTTATACATTTTTCGTTTTTTTATTTTCAATTTGTACTTAAATATACTGCCAGTCAGAGGCGATTCTACAAATAAAATGAGGGGGGGGAGGGTGAATCCATAAAAAGTACCAACTGGCTTCGTAAAAAATAAAAAAAAAAATGTCCTCAAAACTCAAATTTAAGCCACTGAGTTGTGTCATATACACGACTAACCAACTAAATTCGTAAAAAAACCGACTATAAATTAAAAATCATCTTTTTTTGGGGGGTGCAACACCCC